CCCTAACTGCCTGTTTTTCTCTAAATCACCACATATCTCCTGAAGATCTAGATCCTGACAGTCAGGTTTTTGCTTTAAATATCACTAATGATTGTGAGCCATCCAGTTATGAAGAGGCAGCTCTTGATCCTTCTTGGCAAACAGCTATGACCCAAGAGTTTACTGCCCTGCATGATAATAACACTTGGTCTCTCATGCCTCTGCCTATTGGTAAGAAGTCTGTTGGTTGTAGGTGGGTTTATAAAGTTAAGCATAAGGCTGATGGAAGTGTAGAAAGGTATAAGGCAAGGCTAGTGGTAAAAGGGTACATTCAACATCATAGCATTGATTATACAGAAACATTATCTCCAGTTGTTAAGATGACAACTGTACGGGCTTTGATTGCTATTGCTACTAAGAAACAGTAGAGCATATACCAACTTGATGTGAATAATGCTTTTCTCCATGGAGATTTAAATGAGGAAGTCTATATGGATGTACCTCCAGGTCTTGATGTGCCACATATAGGATTGGTTTGCAAGCTCAATAAGTCACTTTATGGATTGAAACAAGCAAGTCGACAATGGTATGAGAAATTGGCTGCAGCTCTCAACTCAAGGGGTTATACTCATTCACTACATGATTACTCTTTACTTTTTAGAAAAAAAGGGCACTCTACTGTTTTTCTGGGGGTCTATGTGGATGACATTCTTATAACAGGAATAGATACTGAGGAAATCACTAGTCTCAAAAGTTTCCTCAATGATCAGTTCAAAATCAAGGCCCTTGGTAAGCTGCACTATTTTCTAGGATTAGAAATTATGTACAAGAATGATGGAATATTCATATCCCAAAGGAAATTTGTTCAGGACCTCCTTAAAGAATTTCATGTTAGTGGTCTCACTCCTGTAACATCTCCCGTGGATCCTACCATTAAACTCGAAGCTCATGAAGGAGAACATTTGCCTGATCCCACTTTGTATAGAAAATTGGTTGGAAAGTTAAATTTTCTTACTCATACTAGACTTGATATCACCTATGGGGTACAACACTTGAGTCAATGCATGCAAGACCCAAGGGAACCTCACCTCAAAGCTGCATTTCATATGTTAAGATATCTTCAGAAAGACCCTACTTTGGGTATTTTTATGCCTGCTTCTCCTGATTTTGGTATACAGGCTTTTTGTGACTCTGATTGAGCTTCTTGCCCTGATTTTAGGAGGTCTGTTAGTGGCTATATTGTTTTGCTGGGCACCAGTCCTATTAGCTGGAAATCCAAGAAACAGGACACTATATCATTGTCATCAGTAGAAGCTGAGTACAGGTCACTAAAAAAAGTGGTTAGCGAACTAGTTTGGCTGCATCGATTGTTTACTGAGTTAACTGTTCCTCCCATTGGTCCTTCCCCTGTGTATTGTGATAGCCAGGTTGCTCTCCATATTGCCAAGAACCCCGTGTTCCACGAGAGGACCAAACACATTGAAGTGGATTGCCATTTTGTCAGATCCAAGCTCCAAGAAGGCTTAATTTCACTTCATCATATCAATACTTATGATCAGTTGGCCGACATTCTCACAAAAGCTTTAACTGGAATCAAACATACTGCTATGCTGAACAAGTTGGCTGTGATTACCTCACTTCCAACTTGAATTATACTTGGAAATATGAGATGAAAGATCTTCTATTTGTCAAGAAGATGCATTTACCGGTGTTTCTTTGACAAATTTTGCTTCTAGTGTTGTTGTAACTCTCTACTATGCAAAGAAAAAGGTCTTGAATGAATATATGAGATGATGATCTAAAGCCTCATCTTCTTCTGTTTCAAACTTAGATGTTTTGGCTACTGAAGACAAGGGGGATAAGAAAGTTCAGATGTCAAAATAATAGAGATAAAAGTAGAGCCAAGTCAAAGTCTAAATACAAGAATGTTACATGTGACTATTGCCACAAGAATGGTCATATCAAGAAATATTTCTACAGGTACAAGAGAGATATGAGACAACAAAAGAAAGATGGCGATAATGAAAATCGTGTTGCTAAGAATGATCTTCTTGTTTCTTGCGGTAAAATTGCCATTAATCTTATTTATGATGAGTCTAGATGGTTTGTGGATTCTGGTGCTACTTATCATTTCATGCCAAAGAAGGAATATTTTCTTCTTATACTCCAGTTAATTTTGAAATGCTGAAAATAAGAAGTAATTATGAGGTTGCAACTATTGGCATTAGGATAGTTTGTTTGCAAAGTAACAATGGTTCCAAAGTAGTTCTCAATAATGTCAGTATCAGAATTCAAGTTTTTAACTCTCTCCTTTTTTAGATTTTCAGCATTCAAAACTCAGTTGTCCGATCACTTTAAATTCATGTTAGGTAGGTCCCCTAAAGGGATTTAAATGGACCCCCAAAAAGTTTTCCATATCTATTACTTGAATTCGAAACCTTTGGTTAATTATGAAAGTGTAACGACTTGTTCCCATTGATGAGTCCTAGATTTGGACTCATTTAGAGCTTTATTTAAAATGATTTGGTGTCCTCAAATGCCTATTTTGTGCCAATAACTGATAAAAACTCTTGATTTCCAGGTATATAGATTGAGAAACAAAGCATGGACACTAATTTGTAAAAAGGAACGAAGCAAGCTGAAAGAAGGAAGAAAAGAGAGTATGGTCATCGCCAAGTCCATTTGGCGAATCGCCGAGTGGCCATTTGACCACCTAAAGTTGCAGTGTGCCAAGCCCTGAAGGAAAAAAATCAAGTTGGCGAGAGAAAGGACCAGTCGGCGGATCGCCGAGTGGTTCTGTGATGCAGAGTTAGATCGCCCAAAGTTACAGACTTGGAGGATGCTGAAGGCCTAGGCAAAAAGGTGATGGAATTGACCAAAGGGCGGATCACCGAGTTGGTTAGCGAGCTCGACTTACTGAGCCGAATAGCCCTTTGCAGCATATTTTTGGCGACTATAAATACATTTTCAAACATTATCTTTTAAGAAGTTTTATTCTAAACAATCTTTAGAATTAATTTTCAGTTTGAACTTTGAGTATTGATACAAGTTTAACTTAGCTTTGAAGAATTGAAGTTTTTCACTTTTGAGAAATTTGAAGTGGTCTTTGGGATTCTTCAATTTGGACATTTGTAAAGACGAAACTAATCTTACCCAATTGATGGAAACACAATTTGGTAACACTTTTTATCATTTTATGATGTCTAGTTAAAACCCCAATTCTTGGGGTGTGATTATGCGATTATGGGCTGATTTAGTTTATGGGTATTGCTAATTGTTCATTTAAATGTTGTTTAGAAGTGATTTCAATCATTAATTGTGGTTTAACTTAAAGAATTGTAGTTGCAAATCCAGTTCTACCTTCGTGTTTTTGGCTTGCTCAAGAGAGAGGTTTTAAAACCAAGATTATTTATTGATGGTCTGTGGGTATTGGGTTGTCATGGGTTCAGCTCGAGAGAGTGAATCCTAAACCCTTTTCCACACATTCAGCTCGAGAGAGTGAATGGACTAAGGTTTAGGTTGTTCTTATTTTGCATGATTGTCAATGTTCGAGAGAAATTGACTTGATTCTGAGTAAATTGTTGGAGAGAAAATTTACTTCCTCTATAGTCTAGCTTATTCACTAATTTACATCAATTTACAAACAATTGCAATTACCCATTTGTCTATATTAGCCTATAATCGAATCACATCCTAAGAACCCGTCTCATTATTGTTATTATTGTGTTATTTGTTGTTGTTGTAGCTTATAATTTCAAATCAAAACCCTCTGTTATTTGACATTTATGTCACCCCCTAATTTGAATTATGTTTTTATTCGTAAATGTCTATTCCTTTGGCTGATTTGAATATATTCATACTTTTCTATTGAATCTTGAACACGTACCACACCATGTGGGATTCGACCACAACGCATTTAGTTGGGTTATATACTGGCTAACGATCGTTGACGCTTAGAATTGGATTAATTGAGTTTGATAGCGTTATTCAATCAAAATAGCATCGCTGCCGGGGAGTGGTGTTGGTTGAGATTCTTTGGTTAAGTTGAATTTTGCTCTTTTATTTATAGTTGAATCTACTTATTTTTAGTTTTGGTTTGTGTATTGCTGTTTTGAATAGAGGAAATGAGTATGAACAGAAGCAATTGTAGCCAAGTGGGCTACCAAGATGACATTGGCAACCTCAACGATGTCAATGAGCCTAATGTTAATGACCCTCATCTAATGGGTGGAATTGGTGTCATTCGCTTGCCTCCGGCTAAAGGGAACGATATGTTCCATATTACAAGTACTATGTTGCAGCTCTTGCAATTAAAAAGGTTGTTTGGTGGGCTGGCTCATGAGGATCCCCATGAGCATATTAGAAACTTTGTTGATGTTTGCGGGCCGTTCTCCTTCAAGAACATATCCCAAGAGTCGGTCCAGTTGAAGTTGTTCCCATTTTCTTTAATGGGAGAAGCATGTAAGTGGCTGACTGAATTGCCACGAGAATTAATCACTTTGTGGGAAGAGCTTGTCACCGCATTTCAAGTGCGATTTTTCCCTCCTTCGAAGATGATGACTCTTCAGGACAGCATCCAAAGCTTCAAGTGTTTGGAAAGTGAGCCAATTCACCAGACCTGGCTGCGATTCAAGAAGTTGGTGTTGCAAGCCCAACTTATGGCTTCCCTGGCAACATTTTGCTGCAATATTTTTACCGAAGCCTTGATTCGGTGAACAAGGGTGTAGTTGCTGCAACTCATAATAATATTGCACGACTTAGAGTAATGAAAGACTTAGGTGTGCACTATTTGGATTAAACCAAATAACCAAACCAAATCAATTCAGTTTTAGATAAATATTTTTACGTAGAGAAGGGATATATCCGAAAGGGAAGGGATGTATCAGAGAAGGGATAAGCCATTCAAATACATAGGGGAGAGGGGTTTATATCAGAGAGGAGAGGGATGTATTTGAGATGGGGATAAATATGTATCAACGAGAAGATTTTTGAAATCTTTAATCCAAAAAAAAGAAACATACATGAGTTCTTTCTTGTTCAAAGAGCTTATCAACAACATCATAACTAGGAGGTCCATTTCTCCATTTGGTGTTTTTGAGTTCTTCATCTCTCAAGTAGTCTCTGTATTTGTCTCCTCCTCCTACTAAACTTGCCATTTTGATTTTAACTGAACAAACCTTCTGATGAGGTTTTATAGGATAAAAAAGTTAACCTAATACTAATAAGTCCCAATCAAGTTTTTGCACTGATTTGAATGATCTTTAATTTTTGTCAATGCTTTTCATATAATGAAAATTTGTGGGCAAAAATAACTTGTTCGGTACAGTATCTAATTCGCAAGACATAAATTTAGACAACTTATATCTTGTCTAAACTAATTATGACAAAAGTTCTTTAGGAATAAGTGATAAGTCGTGACATAACTTTATGAGTTTTGAAACTGTATATACTTATGCTTCTATCCGCATAAATTCTATAAGAACTAAGTTATGTCTTTCATTAGTGCCTTGTAATTTTTTTCAATGTCAAGGATATTTTCATTTAATTTCTTGTGGACAAAAATTTTTAAACTATAAACTTAAAGGTAAAAATAAAAAACCACCCAATAATATGGACTTTTCGTGCGAAGGACCAAAGTCTTAATTTGCTTCAACCTAGTAAAAAAAAAAAAAAAAATCTAGTCATTTTCTTATGGAAATATCGTGGAAACAACGCGTACTAAAGTTCAAACTATATAGGATAGTTTATGGATTTAATTGGGACCTCCAAAGAAATTTCTATATTGACTTGTCCATCGTTTAATTTGCCATCTTGATGCTAACTGAACAAACCTTGTGGATAGGTTATATATGATCAAAAAGCTAACCGAAGCTAGCGTTTCACCATAAATTTTCAAATATTTTTAGTAAGTCATTTTTTACTATGTGTTTAATCATAAATTTTGGAAATATATATATATATATATATATATATATATATATATATATATATATATATATTTAAAAAATATACCCATAAATTTGTATTGTCATTTTATAATAAACATGTTTTGTTAAAAAATAATCTTATAACATAAATAACAATATTGACAAAAGCAATACATTAATCGCATACTCAAACGTTTCACATATTGATTGACAAATAGATATTAGTTGAGATTGATAAATGATGGGTGTTTTTATAAAATATAAAAGTTTGGGGTAATTTTTAAATTTTAAAAAAAATTCAAATGCTTGAACTTGAAATGTTTGCCAAATATATTTGTCAAATAATAACAAATCGTATGACCAAACACTATTTTTTAATTTTTTTCTCAAATATATTTGAAAATATTTGTGGCAAAACAACCCCACATCCTGATCAATAAAAGATATTTTATGTGTTTGATGAGGAACTCCAAATAGATTTTAGCAATTAGTAAAGAAGCAACTTTTCCCTCTTTCACATTAATTGCGAATTGCGACTTGTTGGAGTGGAAGTGCCATTATTACAAATGTCAAATTTGACGGGCTTATCCATCGTGTGGTGCAAATAGTCAATCACAATTAAAATTTCAGCACAATATAATCACTATAAAGTACAGAAATCCCAACAATTTGGGTTTTAATTACAGCTTATCTCGAAAGTTTTTTAAATTATAATTATTTTAATTTTTCAGAACTCACGGATACATTGCTCCTTCGGCCGATACATAGCAAACGATACATAAGTTATATATCATATACATAACTATAAAACAAATTTATACTAATTTAGGTTTGAAATAATTGAGGTTATGTATCAACAATAACATTTGTACCAAATACATTGTACACAAACAAATTGTAATGTATCTGATAGAGTTGGAGTGATATATCAGAATGTTAAGAGACAAAGAAGGAAAAATGGAATTTAAAGATTATGTTATCTTAAGTCGTGTAATTATGTGATTTCTCTATTTATTATAATGTATATGACACTATTATACACATTCACAATATATACATCGACCAACAACCATTAGAGGCGGACCCACCTTTGAGGTAGTGGGTGCACGTGCACACATATATCCCTAAAATAAGATTTTAGGATTATATAAGGCTTAAGTCATCCACAGCAACTCAAAGTTTTCCGCATATTTCACTTAAACACCTCTACTAGAGTCTATACCTATTGAACACTTATACTATTCAAAATTAGTACCTATTAAACATTTTTCGCTGATGTGGCATGGGAAGTGCAGTACACATACATTCAGAGCGTGAGAGATCATTTTATTTTATTTTTTGAAAAAATCTCTTTTTTCTTCCTTAATTAAACATAATTACTTCCACCGCTACTGCCGCCACCATCCACCCTTCTCATTTCTCTCTTATCGTCAACCACCTCACTCTCTCCCTCACCACTACCATATTCATCTGGAAAGCACCACTACCATTTTCAAGAATTAAAAATTTTAACCTGAAATTGAGTTTCCTCCTGCACCAAGCCCACAAATGAGATAAAAAGAAGCAAATGAAAGTGGGTTCAGCTACAAACAACTTAATTTCGAAATTTCTTTTTTCAAAAATAAGTATTTTTTTCTTCTAAAAATAACTTAATTCCTTCATTAACGGTTTAATTTCTTTCCGCAACAAAGACGAGCAAAGGGATGAAAATACAGAAATTGAAGAAGCGTTGATTTCAAACAAACAAAACAATTTCAGAATTCCTTTTTTAGAGTAGAAAATTTTCTCCACTGAAACATCTCAATTTCACCATTAATGGTTTCTTTCAACTTCCTTTAGAAACTGAGAAGATTAAAAAAAGGATAAAAATGAAGAAATCGAAGAAGGATATGTAGTTTGCTATTTCAATTTTTTTTTCTTTAAAATCAAATCTGGAGTAGGAAAAATTTGAACAAAGAGGAGTGATGGTGGATCAAAAGAGGCTAAAGGTCCACGGTTGGGCAAGACAAAGACCTTTTTTCCTTTTTTTTTTATTTGTAATTTTTAATAAATATTTTGGCTCAAAGTGCCATATGTACGTTATTCATTAGTCAAATTGCCACATCATCGCGAGTGTATTACACACCTCTTATATATACTTTTAGTTATTTGTCAAAAAAGTGTTCAAATGGTTCAAATTCGAGTTGGTATAGGTGTTCAATAGGTATAAGATTAGATTGAGGTGTCTAAGTGAAATATGCGGGCAACTTTGAGTGGATGTGGATGGGATGACTTAAGTCATATAATTAAATGTGCACATTATAACACATAAACTAAGTTGGTGTAGTGGTTCAACATTGTTTGTTGCGCTTCTTTGTAACTTGTATTCAGGGGCGGCTCAAACCCGTTGGTGGCCCAAGGCCAAAATCAAACTAGAGGCCTTCAAAAAAAAAAAGTAAAAACATTTTTATTTTAAATCTATTTTTCTAGCTTTTTGAGATGCAAAGTTGTTAATATTTTTTGTGTAATCAATCTCTTCCTAATAATTCTTTTTCAATCGATAAATATAGCCAAACCACTTCTAAAATTTATCAAGAGCACCTTTTTGAGATTTTATCAAGTTATCGACTTTTCTTTTTCTTTTAAGTTTTGAATGACCGGATTCATATTTTCTAGTTGACATATTAAATTCTAACAAATATTTTAAACACTATTTACAATATCAAATAAAAAATATAATAAACATAAGACACAAAACAAAAATAATATTAAAAATTAGAATGATATTACCGAATTCAAGAATGATGAAGACTTGATTTCCGAAAATGAATTGGGCTGCTGCAATATATTTTTCTCCAAATTTAAAATATAAACTATCAATAGAACAAGTAAATTCTTAAGTTTTGAATAAGAGAGATATAAGATTAGAAAAGAGAAAGAGGGAAGAAATAGAAGAGAAGAAGAGAGGAGGATAGAATATATAAAAATAAAATTAGAAAAAGATTAAGATAAAAAAAAAAAAGGATAACTTGTACATTAAAAAAAAAAGTACACAACTTTTTATTGAAAAGGGAAAAAGTAATTGTCATACCATCCCTTCATTAATACCGTTTGCATTTGTTGTCTTAGTTCTAAATTATTTTTTTTAGTTTAAACCTACCTAATTAACTAAAAATTGGGGCCCTCAATTTATTGGGGGCCTAAGGCGAAGGACTTTTTTTATAACTTACCAGCCGCCCCTGCTTGTATTCAAAAACTAGCTATCTCAAAGTGTAGACTAAGGGTCAAGACCTCTAGCAAAACGCTCTGAGACTCAAGTGTGGGGCTTAGTTCTGTAAGACATACGTCCTAAGCGTCCGACTGTACACCCTAAGAACGCTCAACGCCTAACCCTCGGGGCTCGTCTAATAGATCTTACCCAAATAATGTGTTAAAAAATTTTTTTAACATTGTTGGCCCTCATAATTCTTGAATAAGTAAATGATACTTAATAATTTTTTAATCTATATGTGTATATTGTATACATGCGGGTCAAATTAGGTATAATTCGTTTATGATATATAGTATTCAAATTTGATTCGCATGTATCTGGGATACACTCACTCTCTCACTCGCGTCTCTCCCTAAGTATCTTTATTTCAGAATGTATCTTAGTTTCACAAATTTCGTGTATATGTGTATCCAAAATCAATAACATCTAGTGTATCCTATATCAATTTTATTAGTGTATCTAATATTAAATATTTAGTGTATTTGTGCACAAAAATATGTATCTATACCAACATACATACATGTATCTAGTATTCAAAGATGCATTTATACATTCATCAGTGTATCCGTGCAGAAAGAAGGGGGAGTGAGTTGAAAGAGAGTGAGAAAGAGAGCGAGGGTTAGAGAAAAGAAAGAGGTGATTGTGTAATTAGTTTAGAGTTAATGTAATTATTTAAAAGTATCAAGAGATCAAACATGTATGATAGAGATGTTTATCTAACTAGATAATTTTCTCTTCTTTTAAAGGTTATGTTATGTATTTAGTCAATCGGTTAAATTTAAGGTAATTTACATACATCTCATACTATTAAGATATAATTACATTATTTCTCTACTATTTTTCAAATTACAAGAATTATTTAAAATTTATGAATTTCGGATGCATCACTAGACTTCCGGATACATCACTGGACTTTCGAATACATCAACAGACATCTAGATACGTAAGGGAGGGATGTATCATAGAGGGGATAGGACAT